AAGAGGCAGACCCCTCTCACTCCAACCCAGCCGAGGCAGCTTTATCTACCCTAATAAAGTTGGAGTGTGACTCAACGCGCTCCAAACGTCACAGCTGTTTTCTTTGGATTTTTCTGTTTGTTGCCATGTTTTTAGTGTGCCTCTCTCTTTAGAAAGGAGGATAATAAAAACTAAAAAGCAAAACACCCAAATGACTTGCGTGCTGTACCTCCATTGGCAAGGTGAGACTCCTAGACAGAGAGGAAACCAGTTAATTCTTGCTAAGCCCCAAGAAGGATGCTGTTAGATTCAGAGGAGACCCCTTTCCCACTGAACCTCCGCAACAGGAGTTACTGGTGTTTGCTAGCTGCCTTGGGTGTTCCCTTCGTCCTGTTGGTCAGTCCTAGGCTCCCTGCCACCCCCTTCTTCAGGCAACCTTTTCAGGTGCCTCCCTTGTGCCAGGACTGAGGAAGCAAGGATGACTAAGCCTTGGCTGGGGGCCTGGAGCTGCTCATACTGAGAGACCTATTAGGACCAGCCTGCTCTGGCAGTAGGAATCTGGCCCGTGTTGAATGTTCACGCGCTTTTGGCAGATGGAGACGAAGGGGTCTGGACCAGAATGGATGCCTGCAGGGACAGAGCCGAGAAGAGAGTTCAGGTTGGAGATTGCAACCCCTCCTGGGGGAAGCCAGAGAAAAAAAGGTCCTGGCCTTGCCCGAGGAGAGAGCCCACTATTTTCCAGTGTCTTAAGTACTTCTCCTTTCCCACTTGGGCTCCAGAGATCTGGCTTCCAACCTTACTCACCTCTTGGAAAAATCTGTGAATGAGTGGAGACAGGAGCCGCCCAAAAAGAATTCAGGGCTAAATGGATATTTTCCATGAGTAAGCCCTCTCCAGCATTCTGGTGACAATGCATTCCCATGGCCACACCCTTCCCCATGCTACATCTCTGCCAGAGCCGGGTCCCCAGCTCCCTACCCTGCTATTCTCCCAAGGTTGTCATTTAGACAAGAAGCTTCTTGTGAGGGTCAGAGAGGCCCCTAAATTAGGCCTGCTAAGAGACGCAGCCCCCATCTGCCTCCATCAGACGAGATTCTAGTGGTTTTCAACCTTCCTAATGCTGCAACCCTTAATACAGCTCCTCATGTTGTGGCGACCCCTAATCATAAAAATTGTTTCAATGCGTCTTCAAAACTGTAATTTTGCTGTTGTTATGAATTGTAATACAATTATCGTGATATGCAGGAACCACTGGACTAGAAACTGAGCTATCCAAACCTGATCCACGATGGGTTATTTTTTCCAATTCAGGTTGATTAAAGTCAGTAATACCTGAAACTCAAAACTAATGTTTGTCTATCAAGACTCCCAGATGGCCCTCTCCACCATAGCGGCTCTCCCTCCCTGCAGCCCATTGGAACCAATCTAAAGAGACAGGAGGTGCCATTATCCTGCAGTCAGGAGCCGGGCCTTCGCGGTGAGTCTAAGACACCACTCTGCACAGTCTCAGGGCATCAATATTTCATGTCACCGGAGCTGTCTTTGTTTTTATGCAGATTGCTCGGGCTGCCAGATGGGCAAAAGCTGGCAGCGTCATCCATCACCAGGCTGTTCCCTCCTCGGCAACCTTGCTGACTGCCAGAGCCCCACAGGCTGGCCTCAGCTGTGGCCCGTCCTCTCTCTTGGTCTGCACAGTGGGACACAGCCCTATCCTAAACACATAGGGGACACAAATGAAGGCAAAGGACAGCCTCTTGCTGTGGGGGACTTGCAGATGATGGATCTCATGACAAGATGAGACAGTCAGTCACTTTGGTACTGTGTCTCATAGGTTTCATTTTAAGCCAAAAAAAAAGCCCCAACCAAATGGAAAAAAAAAATGTAGGAAAAGCCGAACAGGGGTATTATCCACAGTGTGCAGGTGGAAACTGAGGCACACACAGGCTAACAGGATTTCTGGAGGTCACATTTCATGTTGGATAGTAAAACTGACCCAAAATAGCCTCCGATATTCCAAGGTCTCACCTCTAAGCCAGTACCACTGAGTCTCCACCTGGTAGAGCCTGACTGGAGAAGATGGAGGTAGGCAGGATACCACAATCTGCATGGTCCCTAGGGTCTGGAGACATTTCTCCACAGAGCTGGGCCACCTTACACAGCCAACAGCCTCTTTCAGGCCATACTAGCCTTTCTCTGTCCCTAGGGTTTGAGCCTACATCTGGGGACCTTGCAGGGGTCAGGTCCTCCGGCACAAGGCTCTATCTTGTCCTTCCCTTAGATGGAATATAAGTGATATCACAGAGATATTCCCAAGTGGCCCTTCTGTACTGATATATACACATCAGCATCTTTGGGGACCTGAATGGTGAAGAGAGCTACTTGTGCCCAGCTACCCCCTCCAATACTAAATTCTTAGTTAAAGTAAAAACTTTAAGGTTCCTCAACATAATCTCCTTTCTAAAATTTCTGCCAGCTACTCTGACATTTTGTCCCACCAACCTACTGTACTCTGTCCCTCTGGCCCAGGCTCTTTGACTATGCAGGGACCACATCCCAGACACAACACTCTGCATTGCCTGGCCCATTCCACACTGCCTGGTTGTATGGCAGTATTAGTGATAAGAGGGGCACACAGTGTATCCAGGGATGCAGCCTCCACATCCTGAGGTAGAGCTTGCAAAGACTGGTCAGTTGCCCTGAGCTGATCACTAGACTGCAGGCAACTAAGCCAAAGTCTTCTGGGAAATGGAAATGAAGAGCACTGCCTGAAACTCACGGGGTGAATTAGGGCGAGTCACAGCCCCCTGTGTCTGTACAAATCAGGAATTGTATCAATGATTCATAAGGTCCTTCCTACCCTGTATCAATAGCCAGTGGCCACTGTTCTCAACTCTTTGCCTTCCCATCCCCTCTTTAGCATAGGGTGAATGTAGTGATGGCTGTCATAGAGGTTACCGGGCTCCTGACTGTGGCCCAGGTTGCTGTGTTTGTTACACAGGGGACAGCACCCAGCCATGAGATTGCAGAGGAGCTTCCACACTGAGAAAGGGATGAAGCAGTCCATCCTGAATTCCTAGTCTCAGATTCTGTGATTCATGGCAGAAGCAGAAACAGAGCTCATGGATAACTACCTGTGACCTCATTACTTTTTTCAGCCTCATGTCATAAAAAAACACCCAGCAAGAGAGCAAATTCCCTTCAGCGTTGGAGGCTTGAGACTCAGAACAGCTAAGACGAGCACCAAGACCACACCATTAGAATTCTAATTGGGGCCTTTTCTGAGTCCAGGGCTCCCGAGTCTGTGATATGGATTACATAAGCAGGCGGGAGATTCCCGAGCTTGGATCTCTTCAGAGAAGCTAGGCTCAAGTGCATCCTTCCCTCCTCCACACATGCCCAGAACACCCTTCTCAATCTGCCTTCTTCTGCTCTGCACACAAGCTCCTTCTCTGCTCTGAGAGATCCCATCTATCCTTGGGCTCAACATCAGCTGCTCCTGAGAAATGAAATCTTCCCACCCCTCCTGTGTTTAGCTTCCTCCTCTGTGACTCAGTAGCAATTGTTCATATTATTTCTGCATTTAAATCCCAGGCACGGACCTATCTCTTTTTGCTTTTTGCTTCCCTCTGTTCCCTCCATGCCAGCCAGCACTGAGCACAATGCCAGGACATACAGGAGGGGCTTAGCACACATATGTCTACATGCAAAGAACCTACTTGGTGTGCAAATGCCTTCAGATGCAGAGAGATTGGAGCCCGTCTATACTGGTCCTGAACAGAAGAAATGGAAATGTGACCCTGACATCCAGATCTGGTAGTTTTTCCCTGACCTTGCAGAAAACAATTTCCTGCTGGCTTCCACCTTTGAACTCACTCTCCCCTCCCCTCAGGCCTCCTCTCCCTTTCCTATCCAAGTCTAATTCAAGAACATAATAGTTGGAGTAATGGGGGCTTCTCAGGGGCACTGCTCTTCCCTTTACCCCAGAAACTGGAGAACTAGAGTTTGGATCAGAAGGCCAAGCCTAGATGGAAGCCCGAGAGGTCTCAGGATCTGATATGGGAGTTCATTTTTCATGGCTCAGTGTCCAATTGGTCAGACAGAGGCACTGGACCTCTGGCCCTGCTCCAAGGCTGAGGACGGTAAAAGATCCAGAGGTCAGTGTGGAGAGCAAGGAGATCAGGTTCTCAGGAAAGCACAAAATGGGACCACATCACTTGTCTGCTTACTGCAGAAAAGACAACAGAAGATATATCCAGATGGGGAGGGGCAATGTGATCAAGGAGGTCAGACCTCTCACCCAGGCAACACTGGAAACAGCCATGATGTTGTCACTGGGAAGACTGTGTTCTAAGAAGCGGGCCAAACACCAAGGAATAGGGAACCAGAAGGCCAAGCAGGCAGGACTCGGGATTCTATCCTTTGTTCACCTATCATAAATATTGAACTTTGCAAAAAGCTTCCTCTGGATGAGATGATGCTGATGATGGCAATGACACCGACAAGGACACACCCTTCCCAGGTGTGAATGCCCTGCCTCTTGGATCTCAACTCCTTCCTCCCTGGTCTTCCAGACTCAGGTTCAGTCAAGTTATGTAGTTACCAGCAGTCATTCTAGTTGGTAAAAAGCCCAAGCCATCAGTCTTAAGTATGTGGTAGCCTGTGTAGATGCCATCTACCTGTCTTAGTTTTCTGTGGCTGTGGCAAAACAGCATGACCAAGGCAACTTACAAAAGAAGGCACTTAGTAAGGCTTACAGTTTTACAGTGTTGAAGTCCATGATGGCAGAGCGAAGGCATAGCTGCCGGAACAGTTGAGAGCCCACACCTCAATCCACAAGAAAGAGGCAGAGAGAAAAGGGGGTAGAGGGTGGAAAAATACTGGGGATGGTGGGAGTCTTAAAATCTCAAAGCCCAGGAGGCTGAGGTTTCTGGGGCTGTTGGCGAGCCGGGCTTCCTTCACCCCCCCCCCCCCCGACATCTTAGGGAGGCTACAGTGGTCGTCGCCACTCTCCGAACTTCGTCATGCCGCCCAAGGATGACAAGAAGAAGAAAGATGCCGGAAAGTCGGCCAAAAAAGACAAAGACCCAGTAAATAAGTCTGGTGGCAAAAAGAAGTGGTCCAAAGGCAAAGTTCGGGACAAGCTCAACAATCTAGTCCTCTTTGACAAGGCTACATATGACAAACTCTGTAAGGAAGTGCCCAACTATAAACTTATTACTCCAGCCGTGGTCTCTGAGAGACTGAAGATTCGCCGTTCCTTGGCCAGGGCAGCTCTTCAGGAGCTCCTTAGAAAAGGGCTTATCAAGCTGGTTTCAAAGCACAGAGCCCAAGTAATTTACACCAGAAACACAAAGGGTGGAGATGCCCCAGCTGCTGGTGAAGATGCATGAACAGGTTCAATCAGCTGTACATTAGGAAAAATAAAACTTTATTAAATAAAAAAAAACCTCAAAGCCCACCCACTGTGACACACCTCCTCCAACAAAGCCACGCCTCCTAATCCTTCCCAAACAGTTCCACCAACTGAGGGCCACGTATTCAAACCTATGAGCCTCTGGGGGTCATTTTCATTCACACCAGCACTCCAGAATACACACCTCCCTTCCTCTGCTCCACACTTGGGTCACAAGAGAATGCTCTTCTGGGCTTTAACTGCATCACCCTCAAACTCTCTGCTCTCCGCAACACCTTCCTTCCTATACCCTTTCCTCCGACTGGATCACTTTTACCCCAACTCAAATGCACACTTGCAAAGGATCTCTCACCGCCTCCCTCAGGCAAACGTAGCTCCCCATCTCTGCCCCACAACCACCTGCTGCCTTTGCTGCAGTTCACCATTTCCGACCATGATCACAGAGCTGGTGTCCTCAAGCCTGTATTCCCAATGCAGCTCTGCCGTCTCCAAACCTTGAGCAACTGAACTTGTCTGGTGACTCAGTTTCCCCATGTGTAAAACTGGAATAATACTAGAAAGCGCTCCTTTTACCATGGGGCTCAATGAACTGACACAGGCAGAGCATTAGACTCTGTATCTGCTGATTGTAAGTGCTTGAAATATTAACAGCTGGGGATCGTGTTCCGCGAGGGCTGTGATCAGCTCCAGGCTGTCTCCTATGGATTTTCCCTGGGAATGTGTTTGTGCATGCAATTCAAATATTTTCATGGCTTTTCTTTTCAATTGATTCTTTTAACAAGATTTTTTTAAAAAAAAAAGTAGAGAATACATAAGAAATGAGAAAGGTGGGGGTTTCTTCCCCCATAGAAAGTCTGCTCCTCATGGGTCTCTATTCTCTCCTTTTATTCAGCTGTTATTCCAATGGTGCTTGGCTAGGGTGAGCAGGTCCCTTTGAGGTCATCGGTGACATGGTACCCATCTCTTCAGTAGAAAACTGATGTTTCTGTTGGGATGCCCTCTGGACCATCAGCACCTTGAAAGGACTTCAGGTTTGTGCTCCTTCTCACTCAAACATCCAGCCCAGTATCGGCATCCAGTAATTAATGTGATGGCTTATCTTAGTTATCACCTGGACTGAAAGATGCCTAAGAAAACTGGAGAAGCACACTTCCAGGTACGTCTGTGAGAAGACTTCCAAAAACAGTGGGCATACTGGTCCGTGAACTCAGACGCAAAGCCCTGCTCCAAAAGCAGGTGGCACTGTCTAGTAGACTGGAGGCAGAAAGGGGAGCTCACTAGCACATGCCCACTTGACCCTTCTCGAGTGGGTGTGTCATTTGCTGATGTCACCTGTGGTCATCAAGCTCCACATTCTTCAGTTTTTGAAGAGAGGGTTGCCCCGGTGATGCTCTGGGGGATTTCTAAGCCCTCAGTCTGGGACTGGGGCTGCATCATTGGTCTCTCCTGTCCTGAGGCTTCTAGATTCTTGGAGCAGCTACTGCTCTCCCCAGATCTCCAGTCTGTAGTCAGCCATGGTGAGACCATTCAACCTCTGATTTGTGCAAGCCAATCTAACAAAGTCCCTCTTAAAGTTAATAAGGCCCCCCTCTTAGAGCTACATTTACATTCAGTTTGTTCTCTTCCTCTGGAGAACTTTAGCCAACACGACCAGTTTGAATAAATGAAAATGTAGCCAATTAATAAGTTGCCACGGTCTCCAGCCCTTCACCACCCCTGGTAGACTAAAATCTGAATGAATTTTCCAGATAAGAGCAGATGAATCCCATCCAGATGGAGCCCAGACTCCCACAGGAAAAGAGGAACCCCGGTATCACTGGTGAGCCATGCCATAGCCTGACTAGGACTGAGAGAAGGAGGGACACTTGACACCAAATTACATTACATGCAAAGTATGGCAGGAGACCTGGGTCAGAGGCAGAAGGGGAGTGTGCAGGCTGTGTTCTCAACTTGGTGATGACCCTAAGTGCCACCAACAGCAGTTGGTCTGTCTGTTTCTAGACCCAGTGTTCACATCTCTCTTAGGCCCTTAGTGTCCAGCAAACTAGACAAGGCCTTTTCTCTGTCACCATCTGGGCATGGATGCCATTCTGGAGATCAAAGTCAAGAACTGACAGCTGAGCCCTCCTGATACACTGTAAAGGACTTTATCCTACTGACTGAAGAAAGACAATTTTTACGTCTGCTCATCTCAAAGCACCCCCACAATCGCTTGCCTCATGTAAGCCTTGAGCTCAGTCCAAGGAGCCCACAGCAGAAGGACAGAACCAACTTCTGACTCACAAACACAGACACACTTTCACATATCACACAAACACACGTAACAACAGCAACAATAACAACTTAGGTCTACTCCCTAAACCCTCTCATAGCAAGGTCTTCTGGCAGCTAGCATTCACGTGGAGAGACCCAGTACCACTGCCTAAATCCATCACCTGCTTGTTATCACCAGCTTTAGGAAATATCCCAAATTAATGACTAATTCAGCTTCGGGGTAAATAGGTGATGTGTGTGCCTTCCGTAACGAAGCTGCTGGTTGCCCTTACCCCAGTTCACCCTGTGCCCTGCCCCTGAAGACTGCACCCTGCCCGCCCAGCAGAGCTGGATATTCTCTCTTGATCTTCTTCCACACAGAGAGAGGGCCAGAGAGATCCTGTTTCACCCAAGGGATAGAATTTCTGAATCCCAGGCATCTGCTGATCCGGATCCTTCCTGCCAGTCCTCCTGTGGACCCTGGGACCAGCACATCCCTCCCGCTATGGACAGCTGACCCCTCCAGAGCTGCAGAGGCTCACACAGACCGAGACACACCTTCCCCTCCATCACTCCTGCTGGTAAGTGCTGCCCCAAGCTCTTTTCCCTTTGCCCACTCTTCAGTCTCTTCAGTTGAATTTTGACTCCCATACCAGGCTCCAAGTGGCATTCTCCTACAGGTCTTGAGGCATTCTGGGAAAATTCAATTGCATGCATGGCAACAAGTGTCAGCCAGCCAAGCTGGCTCACTTCCCAGCATGCTCTTAGGAAGCTGAGTTCTTCTTCTGGTCCGCTTTCCCAGCTGTTTAGCGCGATGCATTCCAAGAACACTAGCTTCATCCTGGGCTCTGGCTTTCTGTGAGAAGAAAGCATAGCTGTTCACCACATCCTCACCCACTGTGCAATTTTGCTTCAGAAATTCTTGAGTCCTATTGGGGCTTAAGGAGCCCCCCCCCAAGAAAACCCTCCATAAGCTCCCTATTCAGTGCTCCACATGCAAAACAACAGAAGAGCAGACCTAGGAGCTAGAGGGAGAACTTTATCCAAGAAGACACTAACTCCAGTGTGTTCTGCCAGACACATGCTGACGACTCCCTCCATACACCCCACTGCCATAGACAGAGGTCCTACAATTCTACTATAGAAGCTTTGTTCTCTAAATGGTGGTTTTGTGTCCCAAGCAATGAATTGTTCAACAAGTATTTTCTTTCAGCGTTTCTTCTGTGTTTGAGATGACATCTTGTTCTAGGGCCTGGGGTGATACAAGGATATGAATCCGTCTCCCAAATCTCTCTGCAAACATTGTTACTGTGCCTGCTTTACTGATTAGGAGATTTAAAAGAAAAGAGAGGAAGTAACTATCCCAAGGTCACACAGCTTAAGAAATCTTGAGAACAGCCAGCTATATTGGCATACACCTGCAATTCCAAAACAAGAGAGTTGAGGCAAGGACATCGTGAGTTCCAGGCCAGACTGTGCTACATAGAGAAAGCCTGTCTTAAAAGGAGGAGGAGAAGGGTGGGGGGGAAGGAAGAAGGAAGAGGGAGGCGAAATAGTTTTGAAACACAGATGTAGAGAAGCTTGGAAGTTCTTACAAAAAAAGGAGATGGCAGCATTTGGCATGTTGCATCCAGTGTCAACATGAGGACACAGGTCTTGCTGGCCTGGTCCTGGGTCACCTATGCAGGGAAAGAGAAACAAAGGATCATGTGAGAAGACTGGCTGTTGCCCAGTGGAGCAAGAGCCAAGTTCATTCCTTTCCTCTGCCCCTTGATAGATGTCGCATGTGTCCACACAGCTAGAACTGACTCCAGGTCCCACCACAGCATGGGAGACCCCTGCAAATGGGTCCCTGCAGAGCTCTACCTGGGATGCCAGGATCCATGCCAGCTGTGAGGAGGAGTGCCCTGGTAGTTCATAGGAGGGGCAGAAAGGCTTGAGGGGCCCTCAGCAGACCTCTAAACGAAAAGTAATGTCTGAACAGGTCATGGTAAGAAAGGGAGCATGGAGGATCATGCAGGAGGCATCATGAAAGCAGGTATAAAAGACTTTGAAAATGGCGGAGTGAGATGGCAGGTGAGAAGAAGCCTGTTCCGGAGTAGTGGACTAGGGCATACCTTAGGAGAAGGGAAAGACACAGTGAGCTCAGGCCATCACAGGAGCAAGGGACAGCCCTAGGAGTACTCCCAAAACCAAGCCAACAACTGGGAAATGGGAGCACACTTGTGACCTCATAACTCGGGACACAGAGGCAGGAGGATTTCAAGTTTAAGTTCAACCCAGGCTACACGCCAGACCCTGTATCAAATGATGATGATGGTGATGATAATGATGATGGTAATAATAATAATAACAATGATAATAAGGATTCTATAAATAAGTAGGCCAAGGCAGCAAGGCCCTGCCTCCAATGAATACTATAGCCAACTTTTCCATAATACCTGTCATGTGTCCAGAGTTGTGTACGTGACTGTGGCTTACTGGTAAGATTCTAACCAGTGTCCATCTCAGGCAGAAGATCCATGGTGTCTCCCTCTCTGCCCTTCTTCCCAGCATTCAGTTCTGTCTTCTCCATGCCTACCTAAGTTCTGCCCTATCAAAAGGCAAAGGCAGTTTCCTTATTCAACTAATGAAAGCAACACATAAACAGAAGGACTTCCTACACCAGAGTTGTTCTAATAATTCACGTTAGTAGCCTCCCCATCACAGAGAGGAAGAAGTTCAGAGATGAAG